GACTGCGCTTCAGCCCCAAGCGGGTCTCTCCGCGCAGGGAAATCCAAGGATCAGGCTAATCCCGACCATGGCGCAGTCTGGAATAACCCCGCGGCCGCCTGCACGCCAAGCTGCTGTAGCAACGGCCCAAAATAATGCTGCAAAACAAGCCCGGAGAGGGGCCGGCGCCTCTCGCGAGAAGGAAGCACGAGGCAGATTGAGCAACGTCTTTCTGCGGCCTCTCGGCTGTGACTAAATGGAGCCACGACAACAAAATAGCATTAGGAAAAAAAAAAACCACTGGCAAAGCGAGCTGAGCCCCTTTTCGGCACCGATTTCCACAGCAGGAGCTTATGGCCCCCCTCGTACGGGGAAATCGAGCGGCTCCAAGCTCACACCCATGGTCCACACCCCACTGTGGGGCTGGGGGCAGCTTTTGGGAGGTGATGGGGCTGATTTTGGGGGGGCTCTGTGACAGCCACGAACGTGGGCCCATCTTGGGCAGGATGAGATGACAGCGTCCCACAGCAGCACCCCACTTGAGGCTAAATATACCCTTCCAGAGCCTGTTCCTCCGCCCCTGCAAGGAAATTCCCCAGGGCTTTCTGTTTGTTTGTTTTCTAGGCAGGGGGGTTGTGAGTTATTCCTGGGTTTTATAAAGCTGCGGCTCTTTCCACAGGCTCCAAGGGGCTGAGCTGGGCTCTGCTCCATTCCCCAGGCTCCGAGGAGCTGAGCTGGGCTCTGCTTCACTCCCCAACCCCAACCCAAGACCCCCGGGTGGCACAAAACCACGCTTCACCCTCAGCACCCACCCCCTTCTCCTCCCTCCTTCCCCATTCACAGCCATCTCCTCTGCTTCTTTCCATGCAATCAGCTGCCTAAGAGTTAATCAGACCCCCAAATGAGTTTCAGGGTCTCCTGAGGCTTAATGCTTCCTTCTCAGGGCCAGCAAAAAGCGCCAGCTCACTTGCCAGCTCTGCTTGGCATCGTTCATGCCCGGCTCCAGCCCTGAACCCCGCGACCAGGCGACGCTGTTTCGCCTTCTATTTTCTCTGCCTGGCTACGGAAAAGGAACCGAGAGCAAAAAAAAATACCCCAAACTTACCAGCAGTGTTTGCTATGGCCAGCGGCAGCCCTTGCAGCTGATGGACCTGGATCCCAGACGCTCCCAAGGCACTGAGGTTAATAGTCTGGAGGCCTGGCATGGAGGAGAGCTGGGCGGCGTTGACGGTGACAGTGCCACTGGGGAGGGAGGCGATGGGGGTGAGGGTGGTGCTGGTGCTGCTGGTTTGCCCCAGCGACACTCCCTGCATGGGGGCCAAGGTGATTGTCTGGGCCTGGGGGTTTTGAACTTGAAGGTTTTGGAGCTGGATGGTCTGCCAGCTCACCTGCCCGTTGGGACCCACCGTGGGCGTGCGGATGATGATGGGACCCGAGTTGGGGACAGCTTGGAGCTGCAGGTTCTGCAAGGCGTCCTGGGAGATGGCTTGGGTGGCAAAGGTCTGGCCAGAGAGAGGGGTGGTCTGCAGGGCTTGGATCGTCTGCCCACCCTGGACCAGCTGAGGTTGGATCAGGATCTGCTGCTGTTGCTGCTGCTGCTGCGACTGCTGGCTCTGATCCCCCTCTTTCTGCTGCCCCGGCTGCAAAGCCACCCCAGAAACTTGGCTCTGCAGAGAGTCCGGGCTCTGGACGCCGCTGACCCTCTGGGACGCCTGCGACTGGGTGCTGGTTCCCACCGTGGCGCTGGTGGAAAAATTCATGATACCCATGTTACTGGTGGTGGTGGTGGTGGAGTAACTGTTGGCGTTGGTGAAAAAAGCACCGGAGCTGGCGTGCGACGTGGCCGGGTGTCTGGAGCTGATGGCGGTGCCCGAGGTGGCCGGCTGGGAGCTGCTGTCCGGAGAGCCGGAGCTGCTCAGCGTGGCCGTTTGAGAGGTGGGAGCCAGGCTGGCGGCCACGCTGTTGACGGGCAACAAGGTGATGTTGCCGTTCAGAGCCACGGGGACGTTGGCCACGTACTGGGTTTGACCTGAGAGGGTGTTGTTGGCCAAGCCCACGCCCTGGATGGGGACGGCCTGCTGCAGCAGGTTGGGCATGGCGATGAGGTTACTCGTCCCCGCTCGGCTCGTTATGATCTGCTGGTTGGTGCCGGGGATGATCTGGAGCTGCCCAGAGGCATCCTGCTGCACGTTGACTTGGGCAGGGGTGGTGGCAAACTGCAGCTGCTGCCCGTCGATGGTTTGGAATTGGGGAATGACCTGGTACTGGATATTCGGGATAACTCCCGGCAGGGGCCGGGGGA